AATACACTTAAAGCTTTGAACAGTGAGCAATGTGATGAGCTGATCGGCATGGGAGATGACTCTCTGATTTGCCTGGCTCATGAAGCTGACAACGGTGCCTGCAATGGCGATTCTGGCGGTCCAGCCACATACAATGGTAAACTGGTAGGTCTAGCCGGTTTTGTGGTGAATGGTTGTGGAAGCACTTATCCAGATGGTTACGCTAAGGTGGCGTATCATCGGAATTGGATTTTAGCTAATACAGGGAAATAAAGTGGGGAAGAAAGAGTAAATAAAATAAAAGTTAATGTGTGTTGCACTTTGTTACTGTTGCTCAACTCAGAATTTCTGATACCAAAAAAGTCTGAAATGAGGCAGTCTGGTTGACTGGGCTCAAAATCATATTTATGACGAAATAAATACTTATAATTTCAGGGCACTCAGAATTTTTTTTTAACTTGTCAAGAAGTTGTTTGTCAAGAAGTTGTTTATAGGTGTGGTGTTGGTTGATTCTCCGATAAGGTGATAAGATATCGGAATACGACCCAAATTATACACACAATTTTTCTTTTCTTCTTCTTTGTTGACGCTGTAACCGCCTTAACGACTTTAGAGTCTAAAACAGCGCGCTAGCCCTTTTCTTCTGTGCCAATTGGAAATCCCAAGTGAAACCAAGTCTCTCTCGACGCAGATGGGACCTTTTTTCTTTCTCTGTTATCAGCAAGGGTGATTCTGCGTTGGGTTAAATTACCAAAGTCGTCTACTTTCTCGAATTTATAACTGTTAACAGAGACGTAGCTGTAAAATGCCTATGCTCTGACTCTTTGTCTGATGACAGGAAAAACTTCGTTCTTTCCTCGTTCACCACCAGACCCATTCACTTTGCTTCTCTATCTAATCCTGATAAGGCAGAACAGACTTCACGGTTCTTATTGCTGACAATGGCGATGTCGCCGGCATACGGCAGCAATTACATGAAAGGGAGTCGCCTGATCTGAAACCCCGTTTGGTAGCAAACGGCTTAGTGAGGTCTTTCCCAATTCTGACAGAGCTGGTGGTATTGCTTAACGTCATTTTATACAGCCGTATGAGTTTCGAGGGGATGCCAAATTCAGACATCGCGGCGTATAGGCAACTCCTATCGTATTAATTAAAGCGGCTTTCAAATCGGCAAATATATGGTGTGTGTCGATTCTATTCTCGCTGGTCGTTTGAAAAGATTTGGCGTATTGTGAATACCTGATCTATACTAGATTTGCCAGGTCCAAAGCCAAACTGATAAGGTCCAGCAGTTCGTTGCCGCCGTGGTACGCGGTAGTTGTCGCGTATGGTTGGGTCGCTTTTCTTGTAGATTGGATACTCCAACCAATTTGGTTAGCGCTGTTAGTTAGCACTGTAGAGCTGATGAGCGCTGTAGACCTGGTTTACACTGTAGACCTGTTAAGAGGAAATGAGTTGGTATGCGCTACAGAGCTGATGCGCGGAATACAGCAATTCAATTTTTCGCAATTTTCTCTTCTTTATTTTNCCAACCAATTTGGTTAGCGCTGTTAGTTAGCACTGTAGAGCTGATGAGCGCTGTAGACCTGGTTTACACTGTAGACCTGTTAAGAGGAAATGAGTTGGTATGCGCTGCAGAGCTGATGCGCGGAATACAGCAATTAAATTTTTCGCAACTTTCTCTTCTTTATTTACATTCTTTACTCTGAGTACAGACTATTTGACAATTTTTTATTGAGCTACCGAGTCATATTGTTTCTTAGAAGTGAGTCTGATCGTGCGACATATTGCTGAGAGTCAGCTCGATAGCTCCGCTCAGTGCCCATCTCTAGTGACGATGGTGTTGCAAGTTTTTGTCTTTGGTTTTTATTTCAGTCCCAATAATGACAAATTTCGAAAAAATAAAATTTTTTCTCTTTGTTATAAAGTGGAAATGAAAAAAAAAACTTCAAAAGCGAGAATGATGGTATTCTAGTAACTGAGCGATATATTTATGAGACGAAAGCTTTTTGTAAAAATACCAATTTTTTTTTTGTTACATATACATATACATATATTCACTTTAACTTTCTGTACTTATAAAAAAAATTAATNACCAATTTTTTTTTGTTACATATACATATACATATATTCACTTTAACTTTTTGTACTTATAAAAAAATCTAATTTTTTTATAAAAATAATACAAGTGGTACATTTTAATCGAAATGGTACTTTTTTGTTAAAATTTTGATACTAATAAATTTTGTGCAGTGGCAACCATGGTTGCGGCTCCGCTGGCTTGGCCATGTC